GAAGGGAATTTTCATGTGTTTTGTGCATAAAGTTGGCTGGCGGGCAGCGCCAGCCAAAACGATGGTGGACTGCCTACCACGCTCGATCAAGAAACCAAAGAGCGCGGGGGGCCTGGGCCGAAACGGCAGGGCGCTAACGTGCACTGAGGCGCGAAGCTGGGATGGCGCTTTCGCAAGGGCATGGCGGGACAACATCGTGCGTGGTGATGGCGCTTCTCAGGAACTTCTGTGGATGTGGAGGCAGGAGGGGTGTGAGGTTCCGTGATGGGTGTAGCCGCGTGGGGGAGTGGATTAGGCGTTTGGATGCGGTAGGGTGCCATGTGGCATAGGGTTATGTGCTGGTGTTGAGGGGTGTCTCTCTGCCTTTTGTCTCTAACTTCTGTCTCTTGCCTCTTCGGTTCTTTGCTCTCTCGAGTCGTTGGGTTTGGAGTGAATTCTCTGTGAAGCTGTGTCGAGCCTCTCGACACTGTCATTCATTATGCAACCGCGTTCTGGGAGTAATAGGGAGGTGGGGGGGTCCCACTAGTCTCTTCTGGCTGGTGCACTTTGCCGTAGGGCTACACTAGCGCTGACTGTGGGGAGGAGGAGCAGCTCCTTCTGCAGGAAGAGGCAGGGGCTGAGTTTGGTCTGGCCAGCGGGTGGGCAGTTGTACAGGGGATTGAAGGAGCAGAGCGGTGGGTGATGATCTGCAGCGATTGGCGAGGTGAACTTAAGGCGGCCTCACGTGGCGATGGGAGCCCGGAGCGCAACAGTTTCGCAAATTCCAACGCTAAGCACTAATAGATGATCTGGTTAGGGATTTCTGATTGGTGGAACCCTAGTTCTGTTGCCTGATTTTGTTTGTAGATTAGAATTTAGTCTGCCTTCTGATAGCTCCCTGGATGATGATGAATTGAATCCCTGTCTTCTGTTCCAACATCCGATGGATCTGTAATTGGATTTTTGCTTGATTCTCAATTTGTAATTCCCTATTGAATTTGTCGATCTACGATCAGAGATTATAATCCATTGCTTTGTTCATGTTCTCTGCATACTGTGGTATGGTGGATGTTCATCAATCGGATTTTCCAATCTCCAATTTAGGACTCTTGAACAGAATGCCTTCTCAATATTTCTGTATTCATGATTCTCCAAAAATACCTCTCAATACTTCTGTGCGTTGGGCATTTGTAAATTGGATTCCTCTGATCTATATGTCATGGTTATCAAAAGTTGCGAGATTCTTAAGTAGCATAGTATTACTCAATTTGTTGTTCATAATTGATCTTGAAGTGGCATCTTCCGATTTGAATCTTCACATTTCTATTTGGTAGAAGTTGATTGCGCAACGACTAGGGGCGGAGGGTTTTTTCGGGGATTCAGGAAGATGACTGGGATTATCTTTTTCGGGGTTGGAGCTCCTCTTGCGGGGGTTACACGAGCTGGGAGGTGTATCCTTGAAGGAGAGGGGCGGAACTGAGGATTGTCCTCTTCTGGTGTCGGGCTGATCCTTGGGGTCAGATAAGCTATGGCTGTTGGGTCCGAGAGGACAAGGGGTGCTGTTTTAGCAGAGGTAAGAGACTTAAGTGGGCTGTTCTACTAGGAGGGGGTGGGACAGGAGGGATGGGGGAACTTCAGCTTTGCGGGGGCATACTCTAGGGGGTACTGTATGTCGCTGAGGGATCAGGGGTGTCCATTAGGGGGCTGTTCAGAACTGAGGCCGGAGAAGAGGCCTCCTCTGGGCAGAGGCAGTGTAGGGACAGGGGGTAGTTTTTTTTGAGGAGAGGAAGTAGTTCTGGGGTTGTCCTGAGTCCTAATGTGAATTGAGTTCTTGTCCTTCTACCATAAGGAGAGAGGATGATTTTTCCCTCCCTTTTTCTCAGCTACCATGAGGCTCTGACATCTCTGTTGGTTGTGCAATTTGGATTTCCTCAAAATTCCGAAAAAAAACTCAAAAAGCTTTGTGCTGGTTGGGGTGGATTACACTGGTCCAGATGGTGGGGATTATGCATGGTTGGATACAGCGTGTCTTACCGGTGAAGGGGGCTAGCTAGTAGGATGAAATAGGGCACAGCAGCAGTGGAGATGATGACTCCGTTGTGGATACAGCGTGTCTTGCCGGAGTGGGGTTAGGGATAGATGGATATTTCCAGTGGAGGATCACGATCAGCGCATGAGGAAGTTGGAGAGCTTGGAACTGCAGCGATGGTGGTGATAGGCGGTTCGCTCGATGTTCTGCTGACGCCGTTAGACCCGTAGGTTGGTGAGTGGACGAGGCCAGAACGACGCTGGTCGGTGCTGGGGCTTGGTTGCGCTGCCCTGTAACCTGAGTTATGCGGCGCTATGAGGCCTGGTAGAAAGATCTGGGGAGTTGTTGAGGGTGGAAGGCACTCTAGTGTCCATTGGCGAGCTTGTACAGAGATGAGATGACGCTGGCCGGAGCGGGGGCGGGTTGCTTTGCCCTGTGTAACCTAGTGTGGGGGATCGTTCTGGAGTGGGTCGCCACACTCTGTAACCTAGCAGTGGGGGTGTGAGGCCTGGTAGAGACTAGGTATCGAGGATATGACGGCTGAGGCAGGCTGAGCTGGGGCTGTTAAATCACACTAAGGTAGTTTTGTTCTCTGGCCGAAAACTCTCAGGGGATAATGATTGAGGTTCTCATAGTTTCTTGGAATCGTAGCAGAAAAGAGACTTCTCATTTTTCTTCTAAACTTTAGCCTATTTCATGAGGCCCTTTGTTGAATAGGCTAGTAATTGCTCATAACCCTTATAAAAGGTGTAATTGCTATTCTCAACCGAAGCCGGGTAGTGGCCCTTGTGTCTCATTTTGTTCTATATATGTCCTCAAATATGGTTTCAAAAAAAAAAAAAAAAAAAAAAAAGGTTGGACGCGCACGAATAGACTGGAGCATTGTTCCAAAAAAAAAAAAAAAAAAAAAAAAGAATAATAGAAAAGTTGGCTGGTGGATGGTGTGTCTCATATGAGACTTATAACTTGGTATGCATAACCACATGTTTGCAGGAATGGGCATGACTGCGCTTGTTGGTGCAGCGAGCAAGGACATGATGACACGTGTGCGGATGTTTGCGTATGTGCTCATCTGTGTTTTTGCTTGCTTGCGCTGAATGACCGTGCAGCTATTTGCCTGGGCGCTGGAGCCAGCAGAGGATGACATGCTCGACCAACTCTTTGAATGGGGATACCAGGACGCTTTGTCTTGGGTTTCAGAAAGATCTGTTGTCGAACCGAAAGTGCACTTTACGTCGAGTCAAGAAGTTTCTTGAGGCAGCCCTCTTCAGCGCTATCTTGAGCGCGATGCCAGATTGTGAGCGATCTGGGTTTGCTGAATAACTGGAGCCTTGAATGAATGGATCGCGAGTGCATCCGGAAAAAAAGAATACTGCCGCTTCTGGGCCAAGCTACCAAAGCATATCATTTGGTACTCGAGGGCATCTCTGAGTAGACTGGAGCTGTGAACGAGCTCCTGATGCCACGAGGCGCCAAGCTGAGCTTCCGACTCTTGCCAGATTCAAATCAGATCATGGAACGCTCTTTCGGCGATTCTATTTGACGCAAACATTTCGGCGATTTGACGCAAACATTTCGGCGATTTGACGCGAACATTGCATGATCTAACTCCATCATCCCATGTCCCAGGGGCTTCTTCCGTCCCGTAAGTGGAACCGACACCTCATGACATGGCCATTGTCTTGTACAGTTATTTTCTATTTTCTAGAGACGACTTTTAGTTGTGGCATTCACAACTAGCAAATTCTTTTGTCGGTCTCCTCAATGTTTGACCACGGCAGTGTTGGGCTAAATGTCATCGAATGTGGGAAGAGGAGGACACCGCATAATTGTTCCACGTGTATTAGATTCTATTCATTCGTGGAGATGGATCTAGATGAACTGGGCTGCTGTGGGAGAGGTTTCGGGTACTGTTGGTATATTATATTACGGTCATAATTAGACTTGTTTCCATATTACATTTTACAGGCCACACTGGCGAGTCGTGGCGACAAAGGTGCAAAAGTGTGTAATGGGGGTAGAGTTAATCGATTGGTGGCAAGGCCTTCTGTAGTGTGATGGAGCATTTTCTTTTTGCCTCACTAAAAGTGGTTGGCTTGCATCTTTTGCTTATGGGAGAAGAAAGTGCGTTTGCTTGAAAGGACTCTTCAGTTCGTGCACGACTCGCAAGGAGACAGTGCCGGCGCCGGGCGAGGAAGATTCCGTTTCCTGTTATCTGACGACGGTGATGGTAATCATGCCGTGTTGCAGCAGCAGTTGCTATGTGAATATACATCGTCCTTCGATTTTGAAGCGTTCACGCACAAACATGTCAGCAGCATGTGTGTGTGTGTATGTGCGATGGTGGGGAGGGGGGTGGTCGAATGCACAGAGAGAGTCATTGGGATGTTGGGTTCTTCTTTAGATTGCTCACGGATTACTACGAAGGGTGCTCTTATGTGTCGTCTCCCACATCCAAGAGAAATACGAGGCTCAAAAAGTGAGGAGAGGTAGAGGAGAGAGGTGGGGAGGGTGGGGGTGGGGGTGTGGGTGTGGGTGGTTGAATGCACAGGGAAGATTCAGGGTTCTTCTTGAGATTGATCGTGGATTACTACTGCTCAGGGTTTCTCTATGTGTACTCTGCGCATCCAAGAGAAATGTGAGGCTCAAAAAGTGAGGAGAGGTCGAGGAGAGGGCGGGGAGTTAAGTTGGGATGAAAGGTTTGCTGTAGTAGGTTCTGCAATGATTACAGACAGACTCCAAGAAGTAATACTCGTCTTCTCTGTGTGGGCAGCAGAAGACTTTTTCGAGCTTCTACTGTGAGGGCAGGCTTGAGGGCAGTTTGACTATCTGCTAACTATCTGAATATGATAGGGATGGGCCTTGAAATGATTGAATCGTTAACAGTTCTGCTACATGGTGAGAGAGAATTGGTGTGCATTCCGTTGCAGGGGAAGTTTCTGATGGGCAACTTTGTTTATTGAAAAGGGAGGGGAGAAGGTGGGGGATTGATTGGTTCAGCATCTCAACAACCTACCGAAGCTTCGACTGCAACAATCACTTTCTAGTAGTTTCTACTGCTGAGCCTTCAAGGTGTGTTGTATTGGAAGGTATAACTTGAGGTTCCTACGCTTCCTTGGATTGAACATGGCATGATCTCCGCCCCTTTTTTTTTTTTTTTTTTTTTTTTTAACAGGATGACCCCCCCCACCTACTGCACTGACTCTGTCTAATTGTTAGTCTTTCCCAGAATATTACTATGGTTATCTCTGAGCACGCAGCCTGTCGGATGGAATCTCTCACTCGTCGGAGTCTTCATGCGATCAGCAACGCGGCAGTATTCTGCATGGTGGATTGAATGGATCGATTTCCAGGCGCAACTGCCAGCTGCAAAAATCTTGCCCAGGTATGCGGGGAGCGCTGGAGCATTCAGCTCTGTACAGGTTGTCCCTTCTCCTGAATGTGCCCCTGATCTCTAAGACATCTTCCTTCCTGTACTGCAAAATTTGAAAGCTGCTCATCATTCCAAAATTGGACGCTTCCTGCTTCTTTGGAGAAGGAATAGAGCAAAGGATGTGTGTTCCGTGGTTCTGTTTCTTTTGTTTTCTGTTTTTTTAACTTTTTCTGTTTTCTTTTCCCTGACAGGTCCGGGGATCGTCATTGCAGTTCCTTTCCGTCCGCAAGTAAAAAGCGGAAGAGTATTTTACGGTTTTTACCTAATCTATCGACATCTGCAATGAGCCCAGACCTCAGACCAGCATCTCATGCCACACCTAGAGGCACTCTTCAGCACATGAGAATTGGAAAACGAAACTCGAAGTTTGTATGCACCAAGGTGGGTGGCTATGGCTGTCAGCAAACGTCCATCAAGAATGACCTCTCTCTCTCTCTCTCTCTCTCTCTCTCTCTCTCTCTCTCTCTCTCTCTCTCTCTCCT